GGGCTCAGCGGCGCGAGGCGGGGCTTGAGCCCCGGGCGCGCGGGACTAGCGGGGCCCACTAAGGCCACCTCAGCCCGCCCCCGCCCCAGGGACCCCTGCGACCCACCGCGACCACGGCACTCGGCTCGCCACCCCTGCACCGAGATGTCATGTGGGTGTCGCTGCCTGTCCCAGGCGCTGGGGAATCAGCGTGCAAGGGACTGGCCCGGCCCTCCTGGGACGGACATGCTGGCCCTGAGTAAGGAGAAGGGGCGTCGGGAGGCCAGGGTCGCTCCCTTACCGCCTTCTTGTCTTGGCGCCATAGTCCCCGGCTCGGTGAGTCCCTGCCTGACCGCCCTGTTCATAAAAAGTCACAGCCCCTCTCTCTTCACCTTCCTTCCAGCTTGTGTTCCTCTTTAGCTCTTATCAGCTTCAGATAGGAGTAAGTAAACAGTTTTCTTGTTCATGTTACTTATTCTCCTCCCACCATGGCTGGAGGACAGGAGTTATTTCGGTTTTATTCCCAGTTTTGCCCCCATGGCCTGGCCCACAGTAGGTGTCAAATGAATGAATGAATGAATTTAACCATTAACGACCAAGCTATCCATTGCCAAACTTCTTATTTCATGCTACAACATGGGTGAGGCTTGGAAATACCATGCTAAGTGTATGAAGCCGGGCACAAAGGACCACCACCTAGTGTATGATTATTTTTTATTGTATAATATGTTATGATTATATTTGATTATTGATATGATTATATTTTATTTTATAATGTATTACTGCTTCTCTGTGTAAAGCATTACATATATTGGACAGATTATTTTTTATAGCTATAGTTAAAGATATATTAACCCATTGCTCTAGAGTCGATTCTGACTTATAGTTAAAGGTATATATACGTATATATTGGCATATATATGTTGTTGTGTGCCGTAGAATCATAGCGACCCTATAGGACAGAGTAGAACCGCCCCATAGGATTTCCTAGAATGTAATTTTTACAGGAGCAAATCACCAGGGCTTTTCTCCCTCAGAGCCACTGGTAGGTTCGAACCACCCACCTTTTGGTTAGCAGCCCAGTGCTTAACTGTCATGCCAGAAAGGCTCCTTGTGTGTGTCTATATATATATGCACAGTGATGATCCTCACAATGGGACCAATAAGCAACATCATGATAAACAGAGAAAAGATTGAAGTCATCAAGGATTCCATTTTACTTGGATCCGCAGTCAACACCCATGGAAGAAGCAGTCAAGAAATCAAACGATGCATTGCATTGGGCAAATCTTCAGCAAAAGACCTCTTTAAAGTGTTAAAAAGCAAAAATGTCACTTTGAGGACTAAGGCATACCCAAGCCATGGTATTTTCAGTTGCCTCATATGCATGCGAAAGTTGGACAATGAATAACGAAGACCAAAGAAGAATGATGCCTTTGAGCTGTGGTGTTGGCGAAGAATATGGAATATACCATGGACTGCCAAAAGAATGAACAAATCTGTCGTGGAAGAAGTATAGCCAGAATGCTCCTTAGAAGCTAGGATGATGAGACTTCATTTCACATACTTTGTACATGTTATCAGGAGTGACCAGTTCCTGGAAAAGGACATCATTCTTGGTAAATTGGAGGGTCAGTGAAAAGATGGATTGACACAGTGGCTGGAACAATGGGCTCAAGGATAACAACAATCAAGAGGATGGCACAGGACCAGACAGTGTTTTGTTCTTTGGTACATAGGGTCGCTATGAGTCGGGACTGACTCGACAGCATCTAACAACAACATATACGTATATACAGACACACACATACACATACACACGCATATATATACTTATGCTAAATGAAAGAAGGCAGACACAAAGAACCACATAATGTATAATTATATATTATATATCTCCATATATCTATATGTGGGAGTGGCAGTGGAGGTCTGGAGTAAGGGCCTGAGGCAAGCTCAGAAATCTACCTGTGACCTTGCACTGAAAAATAATGTGCAGTCATGGGTAGCCTGACTTCATCTGGTGTTCCTCAGCACTGTTTAGTGAACTCCATTTCACTTTGCTTTTTCTTTAAGTAACATTTTCCCCAAAATTATAAAAGTATGCATGCTTAATTTAACCTGGAAAATACAGAAAAGTCAAAGGAAAAGAAAGACCATTTCTGCACTATCCCCAAATAATTGTTCATATTACCTCTTAATAATTTTCACTTCTATGATTTCTTTGCAATAATAATGGGAATAGTTAACACTACATACAGATTACTAAGGAGTCCCCAGGTGGCGCAAATGGTCAGGTCCTCGAATATTAGCTGAAAGGTCAGCAATTGGAACCTACCCAGAGGCCCCTCAGAAGACAGGCCTGGTGATCTGCTCCTGACAGGTCACAGTCTTGCAAACCCTGTGGAGCAGTTCTACTCTGAAACATGGTGAGGTCACCATCAGGTGGAATGGACTCTATGGCAACTAACTACAACAGCAACAGCAGCAGCAGCAGCTTACTGTGTGCTAGACATTGCTCCTAGCTCCTTGCACGTAGTCTTTTAATCTCCTCAGTCCTTTGCAGAGGGTATTATTACTCTCTGTGTTTACAGATGGGGAAACTGAGGCCCAGAGAGGTGAAATCACTTGCTCAAGTCACAGAGCTCATAAGTAGTAGAGCCAGGCTTCAAACTCAGGCAGTCGGGCTCCAGACTCTGCACACCCAGCTTTGCCCCTGCACCACAGTGCTTTTGTGCCAGGGCGTTTGAATTTCCACCCCAGATATACTGAATCAGAATCTACATTTTAACAAGATCCCTGGATGATTCTTATGTATAACTTCCCGGGAACGTGTTAGAAATGCAAATTATCAGCAGGGGTTCAAACCAGAACAAACCGGATTCAAAGCCCTGGTTTGTGCGATGATAAAAGTGGTGCATGCTCAGTGCCTGGAACTTGGAAAACACAGACAAGCACAAAAGGGAACCGCGTCAGCCACGGGAGGAGAACAGCTGTCAGTATTTAAGTGTAAATAGGCCCAGTATTTTCCCTATGCATCTATTCCCTATGCATCTATGCAAATGAGTCATGTGGTACATGCTCTTTTGTAGCCTACTTTCTTTTCCCTTTAGCAAATAGCATGAGATTTCTCTTGTATCTGTAAGTTCTATTCCACGATATGATTTTCATGGCTGTATCCAGCCCCTCAGTGTGGATTGTTCACTTGGCCCTGCCCCAGTTGCTGGGCATCTGGCTGGTTTTACTACTAGAACTAATGCTAAGGTGAACATATTCATCAGCTCTGACCTCCCCCAAAAGGCTGTATGAGTCAGTGCCCCCTGATAGTGGCTGAGCACCCTGTCACCTCTGAGATTCAGGCACTCTCATATGGAGCCAGGGCCAGCTGCATAATTTGAAGGGCCCAGTGCAGAATGAAAATGTTCAGGAACACAAAGCAGGAAAGCAGCTTTTTCCTGTCTTCTGTGGGCTCTCTCTCAACCTGTCATGGTGCTTTTTACTTGCTATTCAATGTCATGCTCATGTGAGTATGGCAATACTTACAGGTAAGTGCAAACCCTCACAGGGCCTGAGGCTGCACCCTGTGATTTGGTGGGCAGGGCACCTATGCTCGACCCTGACCGTCCCTGTGCCTGTTCCCAGACCCCTACTGGGGCACTGAGTGACAGTGGTTGATGGACAGAGGCAAGGGAGTGAGTGGCCAAGAACCCCTACTAGGAGGGGGAAGGCTGCAAGAGGTGGAACTTTGTGTGAGCCGAGCCTCCAAGCCCTGTGCATGCTCCATTGTCCTGTCAGACATCACTCACAAAACACAAAGTCAATGATTATTAATACTACTAAGAATTTTTTTTTCTCATACAAAAATTTATACATACATTGTTATGTGACTCTAATTGCTCTCCCCATACTGTAACAGCACACTCCTCCTTTCCACCCCTGATTCTCCATGTCCATTCAACCAGCTTCTAACCCTCTCTGCCTTCCCATCTCACCTCCGGACAGAAGCTGCCCGTTTAGTCTCTTGTATCTACTTGAGCTAAGAGGCACCCTCCTGACGAGTATCACTTTATGTCCCACAGTCCAGTCCAATCCCTGTCTGAGGAGTCGGCCTCAGAAATTGTTTCAGTTCTGGGCCGATAGAGAATCCAGGGGCCATGCTTTCCGGGGTTCCTCCAGTCTCAGTCAGACCATTAAGTCTGGTCTTCTTACTAGAATTTGAGTTCTGCACCCCACCTTTCTCCTGCTCCATCAGGTACTCTATGTTGTGTTCCCTGTCAGGGTGGTCATTGCTGGTAGCTGGGCACCATCTAGTTCTTCTGGTCTCGGGCTGA